TGTTATTGCTCTTATTTCATTGTGCGTAGCTAAATCCTTTGTTAGGGCAAACAATGTAACGTATTTAGGACCCTTTTTTTATTTGAGATTCTTGTTCGTTATAATTATATATGTGGATTTTAATTATGTTCTTAATGTTTTGAATTTTCTGGCCAATTATTCATTGATTTCGTGAACAATAATTGCGTAGAGATGCGAATTCTTGTTTAGACCATATATTAAAATTCGGTAAATTAATATAACATGTAGAGATACCTAGATTAATTGTTGTAGTCCTATATGAATTCTTAGAACTATTATTTTGTTTAAATAATGTTGATACGCATAAAGATATGTAATTGAATTATTTAAATAGGTTCAATGAGAACTCGAGAGGGATAAATTGAATACTGTAGAAGAATTCGACCGAACACTATTTTAGATTTTATGAATCTCGATACTAAAAGTAAAGGTGACCAATAGGTGAAGTTGTTCCGCCCTAATATCCATTTATTATTTAAATTCTCACTCATCTTCTGTTGCACTTACAAACTTTTAAGTAGTTAGAATAAAAATCACTTTTAATCATTGTTCTCGTTTATTTTCGTGAAATAGAAGTTAGAAATAATAAATTGAGTATTAAAGTATAGTTCTCGTGAGAACTATAATCCGGATTCAAAATGTCCACTTTACTGCTTGTTACGATTTGTCCACTTGTGGGATAAAATCGACAACAAGTTTTTGATGGCGTTGTCAGGAACTATTTTCTTTAATACTGGTTTATTTATTTCTTACTTCTGTTTTTTTCCTTTTTTTTTCAATTGATCTACTTGTTTTTTTTGCTCCATTGACAGGAAATAAGAATAAGCAAGAGGTCAAATTTCATAGTGATTAATTTCGACTTGAACGAAGATGACATGCTCTTTGGAGAATTCCTAATCAGACAAGAACTTAAAAGGTGAGGATATGATCAGCCTATTGAATTTGGTAATGATGGTTGGCCGAAGGGGTTAAACATCAAATCAATTGTTTATCTAGAGATCAAACTGACATGTGAATACTATGGTGCATCTCATTATATTGAAAATTGCTCGTATTTGGCAACTCCAGTGGAAGTGAGAGAACATTATCCACATGAAGAATATTTTAATTACAATGAAATAATTACTGGAGACATCATCATGCAAAGATGTAAAAAAATTAAAGATCAAATAATTTTGGACGATCCAAATAACATGCCAACGAAAGATTTCTTCATCATTCAACTCGAGGAACTAACGACTAAAGATGTAGAACAAGTGAAAATCAATGAATTAGTCACTAAGGAGCCAGATGAATTAGTTGTATTCAATGAAGATGGGATCAGCGTGCAAACATCAAACTCATTGAATTTGTGATTAAAGATGATGAAAAGATTGCAGTATATTTGATTGAATTCGAAATAGACAATTTAGGTAGGTCATACTGTATTCAAAAGGAAAATGTAGGAGTTTGGAAGATGTACGAGATATGAAACAAAGTCAAATTAAGCAAGCTAAGCAGGAGCTCCAAAACCATATTCAGAGTGCCATGAAGACTTGTACAAAAATCTAGCTAATGACTTAAAAGAAGCGCTTCTTAGGAGGCAACCCAAACTTTCTTTTTCTTTTATTTATTTTATTTTCAAGTTATTGGATAATTTAGTTTATTTAATAGTCTATTTAGGAGACATCACCCATATCTCGTTTACCATTAGGTCATTGAGTAACTAAGTTGGTTATAAGATGTTTGAGCTAAGTAACCCTTGTTCCATGAGTTTATTTTTCAAATTTGATTTTTCAGGAACATGACGTTGTGGAACATTTAAACCAAAATAGACATGGAGAAAATAGGACAAATCTCAAGTTTGAGGGAGAATGTGGAAGAAGAGTCGATCAAATGCAACACCAAGGTACTACAACATCATAGGCAATACGGACATTTCAGGGAAGCCTCCTCAAGTTCCTTTAAATTTTACATTGAGGACAATGTTTAGTTTAAGTTTGGGGGGTGTATTATTAATTGCCTAATTGCCTGTCTAAATTTTTTTGAATGAGTTTGACATTTTGGCTTACAATTATATTTTACTTTGAGATTTGGTGTTAATTTATAAACTGTGGATAGAATGCATGCTAGATTGATTGAAGCTTAACCTTGCGAAACTTGATATTATACGTGTACTAGAATTGAGTCTGACACTGCGATGACACGAGCTGATTCATTTGTTAGATAGGTTGATTTAATTGGACATAAATGTTATTCCTAAACCAAAGTAAATTATTTATCCTTAGACCAAATTTAACATAGTTTGGGGGTGATTTTATAGTTATAGGAAATGGGGATGTGATTTTGGATTCCATGTGTGAAAATTTATGTGTAGATTGTCTTAGACTAACATGATAAAACTAGGTGAGAGTCTTAATTTGGAGGTTGGTTTGTTAGAATAAGTGTGTTATAGGGGCATTGCCCTAATTAAGGCATATACATTTGAAATTGAAAAAACTTCACTTTGAAGTCTTCATGACTCGAGTAATTAAGCATGCAAGTATATCTTAAAATCTGGTGCTCTAAAATCGTCTGACTTGAGAGTCATCGGCTTAAAGCTCACTAAATGGGTCATTTAGAAGACAATCAAAGATGAAACTACACTTGAAACAAAAATTGGTTCTCTTCGAAACCTTTTTTACTCGGGTCAGTAAGCCTGTAATGGTGTTTAAAACATGGTGCCCTAAAATCATCTGATTTGGGAGTCATCGGCCTAAAGCCTACTACAGGGGTCATCTAGAAATCTGAATAGAGACAATGCAAAAAAAATAATAAAAAAAACTTGTTAAAAAAGAAAAAGCAAGTGCATGAAAAGAGCAAAAACACTAAATACCTTGGTTAAGCTCTAACACTTATTTGATGAAATTTGACTTTTGATGCAAGATAATTAGCTAGTTGAGTCGTGGGGGGTCGAAGCAATCAAATTAATTAGAGAATCCATATTCACTGAAGTATTGACTTGCAACTAATAACGTTCACCTAAACTCGAGAGGGTGATAATAGTAATGAAATATTCAACCTTATATTACTCACTGGGAATGAGTGAAAAAAAAAAGTTTGGGAGTGTGTGAATCATACGAGTGATGAAAGGACATATATGACCATTAAGGGTCGGGAATTGAAACAAGTTGTGCAGTCATGGTTGATTTCTTAGTTCTTCACACATACACGTCGATTTGCACTGGAAGAGTAGACATCGATCTGGTATTGTGACTTTGAAACATGTTTGTGGACTAAATATCAAAATCTCGAATCCTGAGGTAAAAAGCTTGATTGTCCAAAAAATTATCACTTGCGTGATTGTGTTAGTAGTTATTTAGATGATATTTTTATTTGAGGACAAACAAATGTTTAAGTTTTGGGGTATTTGATGAGTGTATTTTATACACTTATTCAAAGCTTTAAACGATGATATTTAGTTGGTTCTCGAATGAATTATAGTTTAAATTATTACATTCTGTGTCGAATATGTAAAATTCAATGACGGTACAAGGAAATGAAGGAAGAAGCAAAAGTGGACAAAATTGGAGAAAAGGGCTAAGTTGTAAGAGATCCAAAGTTCGGGGACTAAAGTGCAAATACTTGTGTTGGACCTCATGATAAAGATTTAAGAGTGCTAGGAGTCAATTGGATGAAGAAAGGTGTCAAAGGAATCAAATTTAGGCAAAATATGATCATAAATCAATTTCTAACCAAATAGTTATGCTTGAAAATTTTAGTCTCACGTTGAGACCTATTTTTGACATAGAAAACAATCGAATTGGAGAATGATGTCTGAAACAAAGTTGTATTCCTTTGAGTTAGCTTTCCAACGCATTTTAAATTGTCTCAATTAGACATTGAGAGAGAAAATTATGCTAAAAATACTGGAAGAAGTGCGTGAGAGTTTCAGTGAGGTGGCGCTCATGAGGTGGCGCTCTGTGGCGCCGCGGCGCTACCAATCTGTAACCTAAGCAGAATTTCGGCCTATTTTGGAGTTCATATGAAAATCCTATTCTTCATACACGGCAAGGGTTCCACACATTAAGAGGCAAAAAAACACATCTTGGGAGAAAAGGAGAGAGATTCAAAGGGAGAAAACAATGAAAAATTCATCGTATGGAGCATTAATTAGAAGAGGAATGAATTCTTGGTGCAAGATCTATTTTTTCTTCTACATATTTAATTCTAAATATGGTGATGTACTCTAAGACAATTTGTTATTTCTCTTATTTCATTATGCATAGCTAAATCCTTTGTTAGGGCAAACAATGTAACCTATTTGAAACCCTTTATTTCTTTTATTTGGGATTATTGTTCGTTATGATTATATGTGTGGGTTTTAATTATATTTTTAATGCTTTGAATTTTCTGGCCAATTATTCAATGATTTCGCGAACAATAATTGCGTAGAGATGTGAATTCTTCTTTAGACCACATATTACAATCCGGTAAATTAATATAACGTTTAGAGATACCTATATTAATTGTTGTGGTCCTATATGAATTCTTAGAACTATTATTTCGTTTAAATAATGTTGATTCGCATAGAGATACGAAATTGAATTATTTAAATAAACTCAATGAGAACTTGAGAGGGGTAAATTGAATACCGTAGAAGAATTCGACCGAACACTATAGATTTTATGAATCTCAATACTAGAAGTAATGGTGATCAATAGGTGAAGTTGTTTCGTCCTAATACCCATTTATTTTTTGAATTCTCACTAATTTCTGTTGTACTCACGAACTTTTAAGTAGTTAGAATAAAAATCACTTTTAATCATCGTTCTCGTTTATTTTCGTGAAATAAAAGTTAGAAATAATAAATTGACTATTAAAGTATAGTTCTCGTGAGAACGATAATCCGGACTCAAAATGTCCACTTTACTCCTTGTTACAATTCGTCCACTTGCGGGATAAGATCGACAACAGATACCGTTTTGAAAACATTAAATGCTTTGTCCATATATCTTATACGTTTCAGCCTTTAACGGTCTCTCCCATTCCTTTTCCTTCCATTTTTCTTTTGATTTTCCTTAATGGCTACCACGAAATGGCTCAAGCCAAGAAGCTTGGAGATGGCGGTTGGGCTAGGTACGACATGGTGGATGTTGCGGAGCTTCAAGAAAAACGAAGATCAATAGACAAGTGAAAGCTCTGATGCTCAAGATGTCCAGCCAGTGCTGAATGTTTCCATGCCATGTGCTGTCAAAGTTTTCTTCTCCGATTGCGACGGTGTCGAAGAGAAGCTGTTGTTTGTTGTTTAGGGTTTGGCTTCCCAGTTGCTTAGGTATTTCATGTAAATGTTTTTCTTTTATTGGGTGTTTTTTTTTTTGAAGTTCATTTTTTTTAATCTCAAGGATTGTCATTTTTAATTTTGCTTTCCTTGGCTGAATTGTAAAAACTACATATTTTGCTATTTTGTACCAATTTCTCTTACTTTAACCTTAATCTCTCTCTCTCTCTCTCTTTAGCAAAAAAATCCCAAACAATCTGCAGGAATTGAGACATATACCTGCATGTAAGTATACTTCTCACGCCTTCAATTTCTTCCTCTTTTGTTTCTCTGGATTTTCAATTGTGTTGTTAAATGAGTGATTTTTTCCCATTTTGTTTTCGATCATTTAAGAGATCCAATCCAAATCTAAATCCAAGCAAAAATCCTTTGGCAGGTGTTTTCCTATATATACTTGCATGGGTCTTCGAAAGGTGTTTGTATGTTCTTCACTGGGTGTATCAGATTCCAGTTGAAATTCTTTTGCGAAAGTAATTTTGTATTTGTCTTAAGAATCGTGGGCCACAACTTTTTTTTCTGAAAATGTTATGGCTAAGTATTTTGACATTATTGGTCCCTGTTGAAGGTGAAATGTGGTGTACATCGAGACACTGGACTAGCATTAAAAGTGGTATTTGTCTTAAGAATCCACGTAGATGATACTTAAGATCTCTGAGAAGATTTTAACCACCATGTCCACCTTTATAGTCCCTTGAACGACGTCTCCTAGTTCCTTGATCTTTTCAATTAGTATGCTAATTCTGATGACCATGATTTTTTAGCAAACTCTAGCTCGATACTAAGGCACCTATAGAAATTACATACACATAAACACCTACCCACAAAACATTGTATTGGCCCCCTCATTTTATTTCTCATCTATGTTTTTCTGGGGTTTATCTTAGCAGGTATTTTATTTTGACATTGGTGACACAATAGAAGGGTTCGCTTTCTAAATGTTAGTTTCTTCCTTTTCCCATTTACTATCTAATTTCTACATTCTCTTGTATTTGCACGAGGCCATCATTTCCTATTTATCTTACATGAAAGATTGCTATTTTTGTTAATTTGGAGTTTTCACAGGTTATTGTCTACCTGTAGACTCTGTATTAACATGGTGCTGGAGGTTTCCTGGTACCCTTTTGCTACTGGTTATATTAAATGGCAAGGTAGGCGTTCGATTGGATTTTTAAACTTTTCTCTCTTTCTCAAGTTATCGTTTAAGGATTTTTGGTCTGTATAAGTAGTTATATATAGTATCAATTCTATTTTTGTTCTTTTTATTCATGTTTTTATGGAAGATTTGAATAAAGGGACTTTATTGTTTAATATGCACGCCTTCAGAATAGAGCTCTTTAATTATACATTGCACTGTTATCTGATGATAAGAGACTTACCCAAAATGTGATGTTGCTGTAGGTACAACTTATTCTATGGTGCTGACTCGAGCAATATTTACTGAAGGCTGTAAATCAATGGCTGCGAATCTGAATGTAATGGACTTGCTTAGTGGTATAAATATGCCCATTGATGCTATATTTCAAATCTAAATAGCATGGCAGTTTTGATAAGTACACCTGAAGAGATTAACATGTGAGTGGCTTAGGAAGAATACTTTTTGGCTCTTTTGAATGAATTTGCTAGAGAAATGACACTATATTTGAAACATTGCTTTATGATTATGTTTGAAGAAAAAAAGGTTTGCGCTTAATCTTGTTGGCACATAAAAAATATTAGTACAACTAAAAAAGAACGTGCTTGCTTGTATGTTCTTTCGCTTTTAGCCATTCAACCTTTTCCAAAGTAAAACTGGTTTTCACATTTTTTTTGAGACTTAATTCCATTAAGTTATGAGATTTATGTTGAAATTGTTTCTGATTTTATTTGGTGCACCATTCTTGTTATTTTTCGATAATTAATCACGTTAGAAGGCAATTTCTTAGCTAGGATACCAATGTTCTTTTCATTTTTTTTCTAATTTTTTGCTCTAATTCACGTTTCCGAATTCTAGGTGGGCATTATCTCTGTAATTGGTGAACGAGAAATTGGGAAACCGATAGCACGGACAATGAAGAAAGTCGGTAAGGAATGAATCATCACTATTGCTATAAATATGCTGCATTTTGGAACTCTCCATTTGTAATTTTCTATGCATGATGGAGTGTAAGTCATTTGCAATCACGTGGGATGGAAATTTTGTGGATGATGAGTTGGAAGTGATGGAAATGATGAGGCTAGCCCGTCATTATATATCTCATTATTTTATTATATAAGAGAAGACTAAAAAATGTATATACCTTGTAAATCTTGTATTCACGCAGGTCGGATTTTTCTTACTCTTCTCATCCTTTCATATGATCTAGGTTTTTACCCCAATTCTTTATTTTGTTTGTTTGTTATTGAGTCACATTTGCCATGTCTTGCAATGAGGTAATTTTCATCGTGTAAAATGAGATAAATCTGTTTCCAAAACCTAACTTTTACAGATAGTGGTTCTGAAAAACATTAAATTTAGAGAAATGCAAAACAGATGTACAGTTAGTTGAGCTCATCAACAATTTAATTTAAAATCCTCAAATTGCACCAGATGATAGATTGATGAATTGGACAAAACATTGTATGGAAACTTCCAATATTTTCCTTCACTTGGTGCAAGTTTTGTCAATATTTTAAGAATCTTAAACCACTCATATAGTTCAGAAATAATGATGTTACTCATAAATTTAGCTTTTCATACATACTTGACTAAATTAATCAAACACATACACTAGATAGTTCTTTAATTTTTGGTTTAGAAGACGGTAATTTTTTTCTTCACTAGATTTATTTAACTAGTTGCAACAATAAGTGACTAACTATATACCAATGGACATTAGGGTTGCAATTTGAAGTTTTTATTCAAATAACAATCATGTTTTGAAAGTAATAATTTTCTTGTCCGTCCTATAAGCCCTTCTTTCTAGCCTCTCTTTGAACAACTAAGAGAGTAACTGAAGGTTTCAAAAACAGTTAACTTCACACATGAAAGATATATTTGCATCTATTGATTCTACGTTCCTAATAAATTTTATTTGCTCATGCTTATTACAATGCTTCTTTGGCATGAAAGGTTTTCCATCGTGCAGTTTTGGCGAGGCAACGTCAAGATGGAATAATAGGATTGCATATAAGTTTTCACAATGAATAACATCACCAGAGAAAACTGCTTTGTTCTTTTCTTGCCATTATTATTTGTAGTTTGTTTTGGCGGATTTTTGCATGTTGTTGTTCAATGTGCTCAATCTTCTTTGTGTTATGATGAACCATTACATTTATTCTTTACTGATTCTTTCTGAATGTAACTTTTATTCTTTTGCCCTTGAAATATTTGGCCAGTTGTCAATGTCAGTTAATTGGTGGAGTGTATCATTCTCATTCTTTTCTCCAACGTTTATGTTATCATGTCATCTATTAGTTCATAGGGCTGGTTTAAGCTTTCAATGTTTTCTTTCCTCCAATAATCGTATGATGTTATAGATTACGTATCAGGATTGAGTTATAATATAAATAAACATATTTGTTAGAACACTTTAGCTTACATTATGTAGCTTAAACGTTGAAAAATTGGTCAATGAAAAGGTTGCCCGGCTATGGCATACTGTTGAAATGCCTGTTGTGAACGAGGAAGATTGTGTTGATGTTGTTGGTAATGATAAAATATTGTCTCATTATGCCAGAAATTCCATTACGATTGCTTATTTTTATGGCTTTTTCAACTCTATTCCTCTATAATTATGCTAATACGATTAAATTTTCAAAGGGATAGCGTAAAGTAGGATCCTTGAATTTGTTGATCTCATTTTATTTCATAATCTTTAACAAATTTGAGGTCCCTACAATTTTGAATTGCATGGCCAAAGTAATCTCTGCCTGTCAGTGAGAAGATGCAAGCATGGTTCTACAACTTAGATTCCTGGGAATCTTGATTCATTTTGCTTACAATCCATCATTAGATATGCCAACATTACCTTAAAAATAATACAACCCTGCATTGCACGGGCAAAGACTAGTATCAATAAAAGGAAAGCTTGGTTTGATTCTTTTTATTTCAAAACTCTCTATTTTTTTCTCATTTTTAATTACACATTCAAATAATAAAATATTTTGTACATAAAATTAAAACTTTTTTTCTACTTTCTAACCACATTAAAATATTATTTTTCTCTCAATTTCCCTTTATAATGACCATCAAACAAGGCTAACATTACTTTTCAATTATTTACAAAGCATTGATTTTGTTAAAAATTAAAATTTTAGTACATTTTTATAAAAAATAATGAAATTTACAAACCTTAATAAAAATTGTGCACCGATTAAAAATGAGTTTAAAAGAAAAATGAATTTTTAAAAATTAAAGGCCAACGTTACTAGGACCGTATGGGACTGCAAGGTTTTAAGAAAACCAAATCGATATAAAATTCAATTCATTTTTATGTAAATCAAAAGGCAAAACTCCTTATATATATATTTGGTATAAAGGAATTTTTTTTTTTTTTTAATCCTAGTTTGACCAAATTTGATTGCTCACTTTTTATCCGATTAATGCTCATCTAGGAGTGGCAACGGGACGGTACCTTGCCCCATCGAGTAGTTTTCCGCCGCGTTTAAAGTAGGGTACGTGCGCTGAGCGACGAGGCAGGGCCCTTGCTATGTTTAATACCCGTTTAAATTTTTTTAAAATTCATTTTATTGCTCCCATTCATTAAAGTGGGAAAATAATATATTTATTAAATTTTTTAACTAGTTTGTTTATTTTTACAAGTTAAATTATTTAAATATATTTTGTAAATTAATATTTTTATTGTTTCTCATATTCCTTAAATAATCTTTGTTTATCATCTTCTATTAGAACTAATGAAATTTCGTGCATTTTTTCATTTGGAGTATTAAATTATATTTTTAAAAAAATTAAACAGGGGAGGCGGGGCTCTTGTTACCATCGTACTCACCTCGCACCCGACCCAAATACCTGATTAAGCGAATAATCCCCATCCCGTTCGGGATAGGACCTGTGGATATCGAGTTTGGCGATTTTTTCGCCATCCCCATGCTCACGCTTATAATTAGTGTTCTAAAAGACGCGCTTAGGCGCCAAGGTGCGCATTACCTTTTTTTTTTTTTTTAATCATGCTTATTTTAAGTTTTAAACTAAAAATTAAAGCCCAATTTTCATTTTTCAGTGCCTTAATTGAAGAGTGAAGACAACCTCCTGAATCTCCCAAAAATTCCTCTCCAACTGCAACATCTCGTCACTCTCTTACAACGGTTGCTGCTCGGTCTTCAACAAACAACTTCCAGTTTCTATATGTTGGTAAGTCAGGCGAAAAAATGGGAAACCGTTGCTTGTTGAAGAATTTTCAGTTACCAACTAAAAATTTAACTGTTGCTTGCTTGCTCGGTCGTCTTCAACTCTCTTCCAACTGTTGTTTTTTATTTTTGCCTTTTTGACAGTGAGTTTATACTTTATAATATTATCTCCATAGTGGGGGTTTATAAAAGTACATAAAATCGAAATTGAAAGAGACGGTGAGATTTTCTCTAGTGAGTTAATGGAGTAGTGGGCTTTGTGGCTAATGAAAGAGACATTGGTTGATTCACAATGGAGTTCACGGTGAGGTTTTTCGTTTTCTCTAATGCACTGTACATTATCAATTTTACCAATTCTTTTTGCATTTCAAATGGGATTGGTAGGTGGATAAAAGTATCATGAATTTGTTAGTGTATTTGTGAATTGTGAATTTGTGATCATTATAGTAATGAATTGATTCACGAATTTGGCATCCTTGATCAATATAATATTCAGTATAATTTTTTTTCTGAAAATTGTGTTCTTTTTGCACTAAGGAAACAAGGGAAATGGGAAAACTTATCTTTTTGTTGGAAAATTTGAAAAAACGGAGAAGAAGTATAAAGATCCTATAAATCTGTTTTGGACATTTAGTATGTATAATTAACAATTATTAAATAATTTTTTGATTAAAAATTTAAAATAATCTTAAAATAAGCAAAACACTTTTTTACGCTTTTTTATGCATTTGCCCTGCCTAATCCCGCCTACGCCTTAGCTTGGGGTCAATGCATCACCACGCATTACGTTTTTTAGAACACTACTTATAATAATGTACGATTTTTCTTTTTCTATTTGTTGTGTTGGCATTTAAATTTTCACTTAAGGTTCTGCCATCCAAATCTAAAAATTCAAACTTTATCAAAACCACACGGAATACTCGAGTTTAGGGTAACAAATTCATGGGTCTATTTTTAACAACACGGAAGATGCAACCAAGTGCACATGTTGTTTTCTATTCTTAAATTCCCAAAAGGAACTAATAATTTCTTAGAACTCAATTATCAATGCCTTGTGTAAACAATGAGGGGGTAGGAATTAGCCATAGAAGCTTTTGGGTTAGTGGGGATGGAGAAAATCAATATTAGTTCATTTACTTTGCTTGTAGTAATTGGAATAGGAGGCAAACTCGAAGAATTTGAAAGCAAGTTCATCGATGTGGTTTAAGAGTTGATGATAGAAGACGTGTAAAACCAATACTTGATGGCAATGTGCTCCAATTCGAACGAGTTTATGGCACCTAGTCTATAATTGAGTGTTTTACAAACTGTGATATCGTTTCTTGAAATACGATCACCAGATCATTTTTCATGAAAAAAGTGATTCTATGAGGCATTGGAGTGTCTAAATGTTTGATAGTAGAAGGATTTAGGCCTGATGGGGTCACGATTTCATTTGTGCTTCCTGGACACTCCCATTCGGGGTTATTGGATGTTCTGAGAGAAATTCATGATTATGTATTGAGGAACAATGATTTCATAGGAATTCCTAAGTGACTAGTACTTAAGTAGACATGTCGTGCAGCTGTAAACAAGTTGTATATAAATACTTTAACAAAAATATTACTGTACAGATTTTTTGTAGATGGATTTACGGATGCTGAGATGATATCACCTTATTGGCCGATTTAACTTTTTTAGGTCCAAAATTTAAAGAACTATTGCTACCTGGCATTCTGTAAAGTAGTCTATAGTATTTCTCATACTTTAAAGTAGCATTTTTTTTTTTTATGCAAAATGCAAATGGCAGAAGCAAAATACAAACCCGAGAATGATCTTGAAGATAATATCACGTTTTTGTCTAAATCAATTCCAATAACACTCGTGGTTATCCTTTCTAGTTGGGCTACTATAAGAAAGTAAAGATATTCGTGCTTATGCTATCAAAATTAGGTTGGAATCAGATGTTGTAATAGGTAGTACATTGGTTGATTAGTGTGACCTGTGCGGTTGATCAATTCTAGCACATAGAGGTTTTGACAGCAATGAAGTTTATGCAGCATGTAGTCATTTTAAGAAGATCGACGAAGGCAAAAAGTTGTTTCAGGAAATGAAATAGTAATGTGCACATGAATCTAATTGGCGCATCATCTACAATTGTAACACATGATTCATTATCTCCATAAAGATAAGAATATAGCACATGAATTCATTGATTATAGTAAAATTATTTAAATAACTAGTAAAAGAAAATAAATAAAAAGATTAAATATGATAATATTTTTTATAACTATTTGTCAATCTCGTATACTTTTGCGTTATTCAAGATTGATGAATTACTATACGTTTCTTGTTACTATGCAATCAATTTTTAAGGCAAATCATTGCCTCAATAATATTTGCACTCAATATACTCCTTAAAGAATCAAGAATCCGACCACTAGTAAAAAATATAGGCTGAATACTTGATACGTAACACATCTTTAGCAATTTAGAGAATAGTCTTGTACTAATTTGTATGCAATTTTTCATAAAAGTAATATGTCGAAAGTCTCATTGATCAAATTTTCAAAATGATTATTTAAATAATCTACCAAATTAGTTTAACACTTAACCGTAAAATTTAAAAATTAAGTTAAAAATGCATATAGTTAATTGAGTGATATGACAATGAAACTGAGATGCAAATAAACAAAAAAAAACTGAGTGATATGACAATGAAACTGAGATGGACGTTAACAATTTAACGGAGCTCGAGACAAATTAGAGCACAATAACACAATTGCCATTAAAATATAGCAAATAATTATAAAAAAAATAAGAAAATTTTGAAGAAATTGGCTTGAGAATTTAGCCAATATTTGAGAAAAATATTAGTAGAAGAAAAAAAATGAATGAATTTAAATTAAAATCTAGATTTAATTGCCTATCCAATTGTAATAGACAGTCATGAATATAATTCAACAACAATTGTTCAACATTTCACCCAATTTGAT